GTTAGAGAGGGAAGTACCTGGAAATAGGATGATCAATTATGAGACTATTACAATAAATGAAGTGAACAGCGACAAGGGAATGGAGCTCTTCTTATGAAGGTCCCTGAAAATGAAGTACTCACTAGATGCTGTTACAGGCAGGCAACCCTAGATTCTACCACTCTCCTAGAGTTTAGGTAGACAGTACAGAATTATGCTAAATTTGTTAATATAGGAATAACATGTTGCAAATTATATTTTAAGAGAATTAGATTGGCAGCTGGAGACAGGAAACAACAGAGAGGGATAATAAGGATGAGCCTCTGGCTAAAGACAAGGAGACCAGACTCTGCATTAATCTTAACTAAAGAACTATAGCTATTCCAGGTAGATTATGAATGGCGATGGAGGCTGGCCCATAGACTCTGAGACAAAACTCATGAGCTCCAATGTACTACCCTGTGCCCCCAAGTCCTTACTTAAGAATGGAAGAGGAGTAAGAGACATTACTTCCATAAGAGAGAAATTAAATTTAGGGGACGGAAAAGAAGAAAAGAACACTACCAAGTTTGTGGTCTAGAAGGCCTGAAAAAATGGACTACACAATCAGTTAACACAAAATAGACATGGCTAATGTGAAAATGTTTTACTTGACTTAATATGCTTAATGGGTATTGTGTTTCTAGCCTTTTCAATGGGTGGAGAATGGGCCGAAGGGAGAGAATTCAAAACTAGAAATAAATGTTTTTAAATTAAAAAAATACAAAACAGGCTTCATTTGACAAACGTTACAAATGTTGACTATATAATTAAAAAGGATTCACATTACAATGTTCTATTTTAAAAGCAATACTTCTGATTCAAACTGTCAATTTTATAACATATAAAAATCAATTCTTCAGAAGTTTTAGTTGCTTCTCCCCCCCAAAAAAAATAAAAACCAATGCAATACATAAAAATATCTAATAAGGTTTTTCTTTTCTCCCTAGTGTTGTTAAAAACAGAAGTTTGTAAAAGGGCAGCACAATATTATTCTCTAAGACAAATGGCTTAAATTTTTAATATAAATTTAGCCTTCATTATATTTATTTTTTAAAGTCCCACCTACTCTGGTCATTAGATGTGAATTAAATTCAGATACATATAATGCAGCATTTTTAATTATTTTAATATTTTACATATACAATTATTTTAATTATCATATATTCTCATAAATACTATGAGCTACCATTCTACCAATTTTATTCAGTTCAACATTAATTGCCTACTACATGTACATAAAAAAAAGATTCCCTTCCCTCAGTAGTTTTCATTCTATTCAGTGAGAAGAAGGAATAAGCATTTATTAACGCCTACTCTATGCTAGGCACTGTGCTAAGTGGTTTACAAATATGATCTCATCTGATTAGAAAAAACAACATGCACAAAAATAATAAATTGAAGATAATATATAAGAAAGCACTGACAAATGGTTTTTAAATGTCAGGCTGAGGAGTTTAAATTTTATTCTACAAACAACAAAGAGTCACTTCAGATTCTTGAACAGGAGAGTGACATGGTCACAACTCAAAGTCTCACGTTTACAATCTCAATCTTGTGCTTGACTCTTCCCTATTTTTCACCTGACACATCCAGTTGGTTGCCAGATCTTGGAGATTCGGCTTCTATAATACCCTCATATTCAACCACTTCTCTATTCATATGGGCACCGCCACAATTGAGGCCTCATTACCTCTCACTGGTACTTCCGAAGCTGTGCCTTGATTGGTCTTTCTCCCCTCTAATTTATCCTCCACACAACTGCCAAAATGATATTCCTAAAGCATTAGATAAATCACACTCAATTAGCTCCAATGTCTATTGCTTTTAGGATCAAATACATACAGATACCTTTGTCTGGGATTTGAAGCCTTTGACAATATGGCTCCAATTTACCTTTCCAGCTGTCTTATATATCATTATCCTTCACACTTTGGTCCAGGCAACTTGGCCTTCCACCTACCTGTTCCTCAAATAAGATATTCCATTCCATTTCACCTTCTTTTTTTGAATTCCTAGTTTCCTTCAAAACTTAGCATTGAGTACCACTTTCTCCATAAGGTCTTCCCTCCCCCTCTCCTCCAGATGCCAGTGGCTTCCCCCAATATTCCTTTGTATTTATTTTGTAAGTATTTTGTACCTACTTAAATATGTATATGTTGTTTCCCCCAATGGAACGTAAACTTCTTGAAGGCAGAAGTTATTTTATTTTTTAACTTTGTACCTCAGTGCCTAGCATTACACCAGGGAACATAGTAGACACTTAATAAATGCTTGTTAACTGATTACCGATCAGACCTGTACCTGAAGAATGTTAATGAGGCTGTTTATAAGAAAGCTCACAGTGAGCGGCCTTGACTTTCTTAGTGAACTAGGAGGCAAAGTTTTCTGCTGAGAAAGAAAAGCAAAGGGAGTGGTTTTTAAGTGGCTTGAGAAGAGAAGATCTGGGATAGACACTGCAGGAAGTGTGATAAGATCAAAGGATCATATATCTAGATCTGGAAGGGATATCAGAGGCCCTTTGGTTCAAATCCTTCATTTTATAGATGAGGAAACTTCGATGCAGAAGGTTAAGTCACTTGTGCAAAGTCACAAAGGTAGTAAGCACACAAGTTTTAATAACAGTGAACATCTGTTTTCAACACTCGCAAAACTGTTTCAAAACAATAGAATCAAAGATATTGCAAACTTATGTTACAGGTTGCAAATGCCAAAACTTTAAAAGGTTTTATTGTACAAATTCCTAATTAAAATTATGAATGTAGATGAAAATGATTTGGTTTAAATAATTATTTAAAACAAATATAAAATAACATTTCTACAAATCAAGTTATAACATTTTGCCTTAGGAATCCTTCAGAATATCTGACATTTTTCCAGAACTATTTGTAAAGAAATACTAAGAATGAGGACAGAATCAAGAACTGAGTGCAGGCTGAGGCAAAGTTCATAGCATAATCATAAGACACAAAGCAAAAATTAAAGTACCAAAAAGGATTAAACAAAAAAAAAAAAGAAGCATGTCAAGCTCAGGGATGCTGTTGTACTCTGTGACTTTTTTTATTAGCACTGGACAATCACCAGATCACAAGATAAAAATAAGAAGCCCTGGTGGATGGGGACAGGTATCTATAGTGGATCCAGAGAGTGAGTCAGAGTAGCAATAATATCCATTCCTGGTCCTAGGAAGGAACCAACAAGAGCACAAGGAGAGATATTTCGGGTAAGAGGCTTTCAAAAAGTGCTATTAAAAATCTGATACTCTTTATATATCAAATATGATTAAAATTTAATTTCCTTCATGAGTTTTGAGGGTCTTGGCTACTAATAAAAAGAGACAAGTAACAAACATATAAAATGCACACAAAATGCTATATTAAAAATAAGTACATGCCAACTTCAATTAATGAGTCATAAAAATCAAAGAAATATAGTACAAAGAAATATAGTACAAACATGGAGAAGGTGGTGAGGAGCAAGCATCAGATGAACTTCACTTATCTGAAAAAAACAAGAGAGTGCTGAAGACACACACATATACATATTAACTATTTGGTTTAGAAACATATCTAATACAGCAATGAAACAAACAGGAATGGATAGGGAGACAGAGGAAGGATAAAAGGGAGGAAATACTCATAAAACAAATTTCCTGATCCTGAAGTGGGGGAAAAGAAAAGCAAATAACTGAAAATGAAAGGGGTGCCCATCAATTGGGGAATACATGAGCAAATTATGGGATGTGAATGTAATAGAATATTACTGAGCCACAAAAATGACAAAAGAAAGTATTACAGAAAATCCTAGGTAGTACGAATTCATGTAAAGTGAGAATCAGAAGAACAATTTATATAAGGATAACAAAATTACAAAGAAAAACAACTTTGAAAGATTTAAGAACTCTCATCAATGCAATGACCATATCTCCAGAAAAACTATGATGAGGCAAGTTACTCACCTGTTAATAGAGAGATTAGAGAGGCAAGATCCAGAAAGAAGCATATATTTTTGGACATAGCTACTGTGTGAATTTGCTTTGCTTGACTATGCTTATTTGTTATAAGGGTTTTTCCTTCTCTCTCTCTCTCTCTCTCTTTCTCTCAGTAGGTAGAGAGGCATTTGGGGAGAGAGAAAATTATCAATATTGATTTTTTAAAATAACAACTAAAAGAAGGCCATTGAAACAGTATAAAAATGTATAGGAGAGAATATAAAGGAGGTCGAAGGAAGCAAAGACTTTTAAAAAGTAAAGTATGAATTTATTATATGCTTTAAAAAATAGGCAGTATGAAATGGAGAGTCATATTCTCTTTCTGTGTTATGTTGTGTATACATGGTTTTTTGGATATTTAAGATTAAAAAAAATTTTAAATGCATCCACAAAACCCCCACACTTTTGTATAAATGCTTTAAATACTCTTTGCTATCCTAGAAGTTTCTAGACTTAAAGAATTTAAATAAAAAGACTGTATACACTGAGATTCAGGCAAACTGTCCTTCTAGAGAGAAAGAATAGAGGTTCCTCATACAACAATACTCCTTATATCATGTCTCCACCTGCTTCTGCACTGGCCATTCGCTATGTACAGCTTCCTTACAGAGTATCTCTCTTCAAGACTCAATGTTATGCACAATCATTTATATAGAACCTACCCTCATCCCCTATAATTCCTAGTATCTTCTTCATAAAGTATTTTGTATTTAACTACTTTGTGTTTATTCATATTTATTCTGCATATACTTATATATATATTTCTTGTCACCTGTTTCAATATAAGCTTCTTTTTTTTTCCCAACATAAGTTTCTTGATAGTACGAATTGTTTCATTTTTTGTATTGATATCCCCAATGACTAACAAAGTCCCTGGCACACAGTAGAAACTTAATAAACGTGTGTTCATTGATAACTTGGTTGCAACCCTAATGCAAGAAAAATATCTATGAACAAGTATAATTCTGAAAAAGCAACCTAAAAATCTTACCTCCTGTTCCTAGAACCTTCAGAAGTTCAAAATTTTCAATTCCCACTTTCTCCGCATGTCCTGTTAAATTAGCTAAAATATAAAAAAAATCAAGAAAAAAACATATTAAAAAATTTGATTAAAAAATCTGCTAAAATTGAGGTTCTAACAGTACCAGATATCAAAAGTCCATTAATTTTAACATAAATACATAAAACATTTTAAAAGTAAATTAAATTGACTATTCTTTTCTGAAATCTTTTAAATATGTTTAAAATTTCATTTTGACACAGGGGTAAATAGAAAAATAAGTAAGACACTGGACTAGGATTCCTAGATTCTAGTCCCTGTTTTACTACTAATTTAGACTTTTGACAAATCACTTAACTTGTGATACGTCACTCATGGAGCTTCATTTCCTTATTTGCAAAATGATGCCAGAGTTGGACTATGTGATCTCTAAAGTCCTTTTCACTTCTAAAATCCTATGAAAACAGGTACTAAAGAATATTTTTAAAAATAAACCATATGCCCTCACAAAAATTATTCTTTTGAATAAATACTTTTTAAATATTCCTTCCTATCTCAGACTTGCTAGACTTCAAGTTTAGATAGGAGGGAGCATTCTCAAAGAATACAGGGTAGCTTTTCAGTCTCAATGTACATTATTGCTGCTCTTAAACACTGTGATCCAGCCAAACTGTCTATTAAAAAAACAAACAACCTGCTCAAAAGTTTCCCATAATTATGAACAAAATTTAACAAAATATTTGATTCTAAGTGTTAAAAAGTTCTCAAAACTATCTCTCTTAAGGAAAAACTAGTTCTTAAGTGTCTTTGTACGGTTCAGCTAACGTGCTTTGTGGGGCAGTAAATAAGTAATATTTATTGAGACTGCACTGTGTGCAGAGCACTAAGCTTCCTGTCTAGGAATACATAGGGTCATAGATTTATAACTGAAAAAGACCTTAGAGGTCACTGGAAGTCAAGATAACTCTAAAATGATGGCTACAGCAATCATAATTCTGTTATAAAAAAAACCCAAACCTTTATGTTTCCAAGTCTAAAGCATATTTTTAACTACCAGTTTATCTAACAGTTAGCTCACACAAAGTTATTGATCGATATATTTTTCACACTGATGCGCCATTCTAAAATAATGACATACTTTTTTTGGGGGGGCAATTGGGATTAAGTGACTTGTCCAAGGTCACACAGCTAGTAAGTGTCAAGTGTTTGGTCTGAGGCTGGATTTGGTCTCAGGTCCTCTGGACTTCAGGGCCCATAATATCCACTGTGCCACGTAGCTACCCTGACATCCACTTCTAACTAAATTCGTTCAATTGTTTCAGTGGAATTTGACTCTGTGTGACTTCATTTGGGATTTTCTTTGGCAAAGATACTAAAGTGATTTGCCATTTTCCTCTCCAGCTCAATTTACAGATGAGGAAACTGAGGTAAACAGGGTTAAATAACTTGCCCAGGGTCACACAGCTATTAAGTGTCTGAGGCCAGATTTGAACTCAAAGATGAGTCTTCCTGACTTCAGTTCTTGCACTCTATCCACTGAACCACCTAGCTGCGCTTTGCTAACTAGTCCAATCTATATTATTTATCATGCCTAATAACATAAATTAAAACATTTAAAGAGTCATCTGTTTACACATGACAAAGACCACTTTTCAGTTTTCTTTACAATACCATTATTTTAGTCATGGGGTAGGTAGGTGCTGAAAGGTACAAATTTCTAAATCATTTATGTACACCACAATTACCCATAATCTCCTTAGTCCCTAGACCTGTGCTATCTTGGGAAATGGAAATAAACTTTCCTTCACAGTGTACACAGCTAATACTTTCCTTATTAACAATAACCATGATGGGGCAGCTAGGTGGCACACAGTGGATAGAGCTCCAGCCTTGGAGTCAGGAGGACCTGAGTTCAAATCCCGCTCAGACACTTGACATTTACTAGCTGTGTGACCCTGGGCAAGTCACTTAACGCCGACTGCCTCACCAAAAAGCAAAAAAACCCCAAAAAACTCCCAAACAAAACAAAATAACTATGATAACATCCATAAAGTGATTTTTAATCATAAAGTTTGACAAAAGCATGGGCTATTTTTTCTTTTTACTATGTAATGGGTTACTGACATGCCCTATTATCCATTAACTCATTAATAATCACAAGAGGCCACAATGAAGTTACACTCTTCCTTAAGGTATTTTTTTTTTAATATGTAGTCCAAAAGCCAGTGGTCACGTAAAAAGTTCTTCCCAATGGCCTTGGGACTGGCCTCTCATACAGTTTATGGTACAATCATATACGACATGAATTAATAACTTCCTCTGTTTCTTTGGTTCAGTTCTATGATTTCATTGGTATAGGGAATTTCTGGAGAAGAAATTATCATTATCAAAACTGACTGGCAACTGTTCTACAACTTAAGAGTTGTTTAGGGGCACTGTTAGAGGGTAAGGGACTTATCCAGGGTCACAAAGTCAGTATATGTCAGAGGTAGCACTTGAATCCAGTTTTTCCTGATTCTGACACCTGTTTTCAATCCACTGAGTCAAACTGTCTCTCATTTTCATATGATATTTAATAAAAAAAAACCAAACAAAAACCAACCACCATTTCATTAGCCTCATATCAAAAGTAGTAACATTTATCCTTTAAATTGCTGAAGTTTTCTAAATTTAATTTTGCTTTGTTTGGGGATGGAGATTACAATGAATACAACATATACAGCATATAGTCTTTTGCCTTGTTAAAGAATTCATAGATTGAAAAAGTTTGGAAAATCATTTGCCTGCAGTAAAAATGGATGCTACACTAAAAAGTTAACGTAAATGACCACTACACATAACAATTTAGCTGACAGGGAGAAAAAATGTGTAAATAGATACAACTTAAATTTACATGGTGTTGGATTTCTGGGTAAGACAGCAATTTAAAACACTGTAAGGACACCTCAGCCCTCCCAAAAGTCTAGAGACATGAAGTGAATAAAGCCAAATAAAATAAACTTCATCTTTAGAGGATAGATCATAAAGGAGAAGAGAGGAGGGATTAAAAGAAGAGGGGAAAAAAGCATAATAACTATAGATCAAAGGTTGGACTAGTGAAAAAAACAAGAGATAAGGAGTGGGAGAAAACCTCTTCAATTATAAATTACTAGAGCTGATCACATTCCTTCACTTTTAGCACCTCTTTCTTTACTATAAAGAGTCAAGCAGGGAGTAAAGAGAAGAAAAAGTAAAAGTATTTAATAGAGGGAAATACACAATTAACAATCATAGCCATGAAAATGAATGGAATCAACTCACCTATAAAATAGAGGATTTTTAGCAAATTGCATTAGTAAAGCAGAATTTAACAATATGCCCTTTATAATAAATATTTTGGAAACATAAAGATTCAGAAAAGGCTAAAATGAGGGGTTGGAGCAGATTTTATTATTCCTAGGGTGAATTTTAAAAAGCAGGGGTGGCAATCATGACCTCAAACAAAATAAAGTTAAAATTGATAATTAAGACATTAGCAGGGAAATTACATTTTGAAGGCAATGGAGATGAAATAATACGTACTTAAAATATATGTATCAAATGGTAAAGAAGCTAAGTATTTGAAGGAAAAGTTAAACCTACTGAAGGGAGAAAGAGAAAACAAACTACAATAGAGATTTCAATATATTCCTTTTAAATGTGGAAAAATTTAATAAAAGCATAAATAGGAGGACCTCGATAGGACCTCAACAGAATTTCAGAAAAATCATATACAAAGTGTCTCAAAAGTCTTAGTACAGTTTTAACAGAGTAAAATTCCACCAAGACTTTTCAGATGCCCCATGTAATAGATTTCTGTTGATTATTCAATAGAAATAAAAAGATGTATACATATTTTTCATCTATGCAGGGCACCTTTACAAAAAAAAAGCTAACTGTACTATGGCATAAAAATAAATGCAAACAAATGAAGAAAACCAGAAATATTAAATACATTCTTTATCAATGACATTACAATGAATATTATACTCCACAAAGGGCCTTTGAAGAAAGAATTGAAATTTAAGGAGACTAAGTAATTTCATCTTAAAAAATTAGAGGGTCAAATAACATATACATAGATATGTATATATATAAACATATATACACACATACATACACATATATCTGCAGTCTTAAGTTATTGACATGCTTCAGGAATGTCCATGCTAACATACAATTGTAACCAGAAAATTCCAGCCAGCCAACAACAAAAAAATTAAACTGAGGGAATAAATGACTTCAAAAAAGGAGCAAGCCATGAGATAAACTCACAAAAAAAATCAGCATTATCTATATTACTACTCACACCTATGAAGAACATAAGGAAATAATAATGTGAACATATATCAGATATCTGGGCATCAACAAAGACAACTCCCCTCAGTTTCTGATTCTTTGCCACCATACACACACACAGAACTAATATTTTTGTACATATGGGTAGTTTTCCTCTTTCTTTAATTTCTTTTGGGGGCACAGATCTAATAGCAGTATTGCTGGGTGAAAAGTTATACATATTTTAATAGTTTGGAGGACACAGTTCTAAATTACTCTCCATAACGATTGGACTAGTTTACAGTTCTACCAACAGTGCCTTAGTGTACCTGTTTTCCCTCAGCCAAACAAGTAGTAATTTTCCACTTTTGTGAATATTACCAAACTGATTTTTTGGGGGTCAATTAGTCATGTCTGACTCTTTGTGACCCCATTTGGGGTTTTCTCAGCAAAAATACTGGAGTGGTTTACCATTTCCTTCCCCACCTCCTTCTACAGATGAAGAAACTGAGGCACACAGGGTTAAGTGACTTGCCCAGGGTCATACAGCTAGTTAAGTGTCTAAGGCTGGATTTGAATTGAGGTCCTTTTAACTCCAGGGCCAACACTTTATCCACTATGCTACCTAATGGTAGCATGCACAGCAGCCGTACCATGGTAAACTGTCTTAGCAGATAGGCTAAACCAGCTTGAGGAAAACCCAGCAGGCCCTAGAACCAATCAGTGAGTTAGGGGGAAGTCTACCCTGAGCATATTAAGACTTGCCT